ACTCGTGATGACTTTCGTCAAGTTTCGGTGCCTAAGGCTGCGTAACACCTCACATTCCACGTCGAAACTCTTGAACGAGCCTTCATGTTCCAAATCAAACACTTTAACTGCCACTGACCCTTCATTCTCAAGCACCCCTTTGTACACACGCCCGAAACTCCCTTGCCCGAGTAAGTTTTTTTTGTCGAAATTTCCAGTTGCTCGTTTGAGTTCGAAATACGATATTCTTCCAGGAGTAGTAAAAGAGTCTTCTGCTGTTGGAACCTTGTTTACTTTCTTTCCATGTCTCTTGACTATGAAAAATACCAAGGTGATGATGATGAGTGCAAAGGAGATGGACAATGCTATTGTGACAGCTAGGATAACTTTTTTTCTATCTTTTGGTATGTGAGAGCTTTTTTCTTGACATGGTGGGACTTGAAATCTTGGGGCCCCACATAGAGCTTCGTTCGACATAAACGATCGGCTCGTGAAGTTTTCGAAAGGGCCGCCGGAAGGGATTTCACCTGACAATGAGTTGTAAGAAAGATTCAAGCTTTTTAAATATATTAATGCTGCCAACGAACTCGGAATTGACCCGGTAAGATTGTTATGAGAAAAGTCCAACATTTCTAAACTCAACATGTTCCCGGTTGACTCGGGAATTGATCCGGTCAGACTATTGTGTGCCAGAGAAAAGTTGATCAAATTCTTTAAGTCTCCAATGGCGTTCGGGATATTTCCCGAAAAGCGATTGTACGAAAAATCTACGAGTGCTGCAGCTTTCAGATTTCCTATCTCTGGAGATAGAGAGCCATTTAGCAAATTGGAAGATAAGTTTAGCTCGAGAATATTATCGAGCCTCCACAATCCTGAAGGTAAACCAAAACTTAATCTGTTCGAGTCCAGATAGAGCTGTCTTAGAGAAACACTATTATTGCCTATGCATTCTGGAACCGAACCCGAAACTTGGTTACTGCTTAAATGAAAAGCTGCCAAATTGTTTAAGTTACAAATGCTTAAAGGTATAATGCCGCTTATTCTATTACGCGCCAGAGATAGACCTTGAAGCATTCGTAAACCTCCGAGTTCAAATGGCAGAAAACCGGTTACGTCATTGTCCGAAAGATCCAACCGTACTAAACTGCTAAGGTTTGTAATCTCACTCGGGATGCCACCTTTTATCGTACCATTAGAAGCAAGCATAATCTCCAAAACCGACGAAAGGTTACCAACTGAAGGCGGAATAAAGTCGTTAAGGGGATTATTGTGCACCCAAAACTCTTTCAAGTTCACACAATTTGCTAAGGAAGTAATAAAGCTCAATCCTTTAAGGTTGTTTCCATGCAGGAGCAGATGTTCGATCAATCTTAGATTACCGATAGAATTCGGGACTTCCCCAGAAAAATAATTATTTCCAAGGTTGACATAACTGAGTTTAGACGCATTCGAAATAAATTCGGGTATAGCGCCACTCAAAAGATTCGTCTCGAGCGATATCAAGTCCAGATTAGGCAGCTGAGCGCCAATTCTCATTGGGAGACTACCCGAAAGCCTGTTTGCTGTAAGAGCAAGTAAAGTCAACGTCGAGATGTTGACTATTTCTTCTGGTATGGCGCCCGTTAGCAAGTTGACCGCAAGATGAAGCTGCTCCAGCTGTTGCAGCTTACCGAGCTCTTTTGGAATCTCGCCCGTTAACCGGTTATGAAAAAGGCGCAAAGTCTTGAGCTGCGTTAGATTCCCGATTTCTCTTGGAATGGGCCCACTGAAATTGCTGTCCCTTAGAGATAAAGCCTCGAGCTTCGAGCATTTGTCCAGAGACGAAGGTATCGGCCCATACAAGTCATTGTAGTACAAGTCGAGCTCTACAAGATTCGGGAGGTTTGCACATAAATCCGAAGGCAGTCTGCCCGACACACCACAATGCGACAAATCCATGCTCACCAAAGACGAAATGTTGAAAATCGAGTTTGGTATAGGGCCCGAAAAGAAGTTTCTCTCCATGCTTAGTAGCAAAAGGTTGCCAAGATTACCAATCTCCCCTGGAATCACACCTGCATGAAAAGTAATTACTTCGAGTCAGTCGAATGAAGAACATTTGATCAAACACTTGATATGATACAAAGTTACAAAAACCTGTAAAGTTGTTAGCACCAAGATACAACATCTCCATTGCCGAGACATTCCCGATTCCCCTTGGCACGGGCCCACTAAACCCGTTATTCGACAACGACAAGACTCTGAGCTGGCGACATTCTCCCAAACCTTCAGGGACACGACCGTAAAAACCGTTCCACGACAGATAAAGCTCCGTCAGGTTTGGCAAACGGCGGCACAAATCTTCCGGGAGCTCGCCCGACAAACTAGTGTTCGTGAGCGCCAGCGTCTCGACACCTGTCAAATCGAAAATCTCCGGCGGAATAAAACCCGTCAGCCGGTTGTTCTCGAGGCTCAGAATTCTTAGCCTCCCGAGCCTCCCGAGCTCCATCGGCAGCTTTCCTGTAAAAAAATTAGACGACAGGTCTAAAGTCTCGAGCTCGGGAAGAAAACCTAGCCAGTCGGGGATTTTTCCGGTGAAGCCGTTGGACGACAGGTCGAGAAGCCTTAACCGGCGAAGATGCGCCAGCTCAGCAGGCAGAGTGCCTCGGAAAGAGTTGGCTCGGAGGTTGAGAGATTCGAGGAAGGAGAGGTTTCCTATGAGTCGGGGGATTGTTCCGTTGAGTCCTATTCGGGGGAGGTTTAGAGCGGTGACTCGGATGTGGCGGGGCCCACACGAGACGCCTATCCATTGGCAGACGTTCGAGTCGCGGGTCCAGCTGGCGGCTAAGGGGTTGTTTGGGCCCATGTTGGTGATTTGGGCTTTGAGTGAAAGAAGAGAGGATGTGTCTGTGGTGATGTTTGTAGTGATGGCCTTTGATGTAATGAGAGGGGAAGTTAACAGGCTGTTTAGTAGTATGAAGAGAATGGAAGCTGTTTGAGTTATAAGTTCCATTGGATTTTTGAACAGTGGAAAGTTATAGGTTGAGATGATCACTAATTTATGTGAAGTAAGTATGAAATTTTTGTCATGGTTTGATACAGATCACACTCTTGATTCTTTGACTCATGGCTGTTGGAAAAATGAAAGGAGAAAATGGCTCCTGTTTTTTTATTTTATCTTTGTTTGTAAATTATTGATAAGAATGTTGAAAGATTAAAATATGAGAAAGAGAAGTCAACAATGCCTTTAAAATAATTTTTTTCTTAAGATTATTTTGAACAGTTCAAACTTGTCTTTTGGACCCATATTTCGTGCGATAATTGCACCGATAAATGCTTTAATTTTGTATTTAGTAGCCCGGCCTTTGACTAATTGTGATTTTGTATTTAGATGAGTAGATTGAAAAAATTCTTAAGCAAACAAATGTATAATAATAATATAAATTGTCACAGTTTATGGAGGGATTATCTAACTTCTGTTAAAATCGGAATAACCAAAGCAGCTCACCGTATTTATATCTCGGTTCAATTTTCTTAAAACTGGTTTTGAAATTACCCGACCCATTCCAATTTAAACAAAAGTTAAACAAAAATCAAAAACTAAAATTAGTAAAAAGATTACAATGCATGTCATGAAAGCTGATAAGATTAGCTTATGAACATTTCCAACCGAACAATCCATTCTCAACTTCAATTTGCAGTAATTGGAACATGAGACAGTGAATTTTTCGTCAACATGAGCTAGTGAATTCTTCTTCAACAGATAAATTCATTCTCAAACCCAACTGAATATTTTTTGAATAATCTCTCGTATCAACTTTTACACAATTTCAATACCACCCACATATTTAAAAAAATTATAAATTAGACACATTATTATTTTATATTTTATATTCAATGTAAAAAAAATAATTGGAATTTAAAAAATATAAAACAATTTATTATAGATTATAATTTGTACACCTGCAAACATTGAAATACATTTTTGTGTAATAGGCCAAAATTAATTTTTCTTCTGAAACTCCAAAAAATATTTTATAAAGATTGTATGAATTTATTGACAAAGTCTTATTAGAATGTTGGTAAATTATTTGAATAATTTTGAAGAAAACTTTTACCAATATTTTTATCATTGTTGGATTGTTGGATTGAATTTATCATTTACTATGCATAATATATATCTAGTTTCTATGATATTTCATAGTTTTAGTATTTATATAATAATAATTATTTTAAAAGTTAAATAGATTCTTGCCAAATCATTTCCTTTCCATTTATTTCCCCTCCTTATCATAAAAAAAGATTTAAGAAAGATAATAATATTCCTATATTTTGTTAACCTTTAATATCTAATTCATTATTGTTTCCAAATAATTTGTTTAAACAAAAAACTTTTATTTGTTTAGATAAATAACTTTAATATCTAATTCATTATTGTTTCCAAATAATTTGTTTAAACAAAAAACTTTTATTAACACTAATCCAGCAATAAATGAATTATAAAAAAACTGTATTTTTCTATTTGCTAGTATTAATGGAAGATAAAAAAACTGTATTTTTTTATTTATTAATAGGAGATATTCAAAAAAATTTCTCATTACTTATTTTACATTTTGTTCAGACAGAAAACGCTATTGGATTAGAATATTTAATTATTAAAATTATCTTAAAGTCCTTTATATACTTAATTGTATTCACAATTCTTATTCAAATTGTAGTATAATGACATTTTAGTTCGTACACTTTTGGATTAGGATTTTTAATTATATTATACCATTAAAAATATATTAAATATAAGAATATTTTGGTTCAAGTAATTTTTTACAAAATCATTTATCCTTTATTTAATGATATATATAATAATATATAGCTTTATTTAATGATATATAGAATAATATATAGATACATAGATAGATATATAAGATACAGATATATTACAAGTTCTCAATAACATATCCTTACGAAAATAATATTACCATATTTTGTTTAGATGAATAACCTTTAATATTTAATTCAATATTGTTTCCAAATAATCAAGATCCCCCAAATATAAATATATATAATAATTTGTTCAAATGAATAACTTTTATATTTAAAAATATTCTTTCCAAATAACCAAGATCCCCTAAATCTATATATATAAATATATTAATCCATGCAGCAAAGCTAGCCAAAAAGCAAGCACTAGTGCAAGCACAAGAAGTACTCGGGTGCAGGCACAGCTCAACTTCGAGCATGTCTTCATCCAGCCACAGCTCAACTTCGAGCTCTATTTCCGATACTAGCTCGACGACCTCGAGCTCTATTTCATCTACTTCCACTATTAGCACGACGAGCTCGTACTCTATTTCCACTCATTCCGATACTAGCTCGACTTCAGATTCCGATTCTAGCTGGAAGCCGACCTCATCGGCCCACCCTCCAGCCTCTCGTCGTCGTCGCAAGAGCGTGCGGTCGGTCACCAAGAAGAAGTCCCACAAGAAAAAGTCCCACAAGAAGAAGTCGAACAAGAAGGCCGTTTCTGCTGAGCGTGCAGCCGCTCCCCAAAAGAAGTCCCACAAGAAGAAGTCTCGTCCGGTGGCTGTTTCTGCTGAGCGTGAGGCTTCTCCCCAAAAGAAGCCCCCCAAGAGGTCTCGTCCGCGGGGCTGTTTCTGCTTCCGTTTCTAGCTGACTTGGACTCTCTGTTTTACCTAGATTTGCTACAGTTTTACTTTATTACTGCATCGAGTAAAAATAATAAGTAAAGGGTTCTCAGATTTTTTTCTTTTCTTTTTATTTTTGGGGAGCCTCCATTTGTCTTACTATTGTTATTTGATAGATTGAAGGTTTAGTCAATGGCTTTTCATATGATGTGAGCATCTAATATTTATTTTATTTTGCTTTACGCCGTCTTAATATTCTACGGACACATAACAAACAAGATACGAAAAGCAAACTTCCAATATCGCATAACCGATCCTTCATTAGGTTTTTACGCATGTTAATATCTTCCATTCTTACACCCAACCTCCCTCGATGACAATTTACTTTTCCAATATAAAGTCCCCAAGAAAAGCACTTCACAGTACTGCCTTTATGATTTATGCACCCACGAGAAAGAATACGAGTAGAATATGGTTATTCGGCTTCAAGAGCTTCAATCTCGTACCTGACTTCTTCCAAGTGTTGGTTAATTGCGAGGACTGTGTCCTGCACGCCTCTAATGGCTTCCTTGAGTGCATTTTCGTACTGAGCATCGGCCTCCGCCTCTTCTGTGCCAGAACCTTCGGTTATCTGCTGGATGTGAAGACACTCGTGTCCCGTTGACTGTCTGAAACGGCAATTATCGTGACTCACCAGACGTTCTGAGGGCCGCCCGGCCTTTTTCAGAACCTGAATCGTAGCTGTCTGAAAGAAAATGTAAAAATCACACAAGTGTCTTTAGGTCTTCACTAAGTACTTGAAAGCATTAAAGATGTTTTCCTTTCAAGTTTTCAATGTATATGCTATCCTGATTTAGATGACGGACGTTTGACAATTTTGTAAAATCACGAGAATAGTCACCGGACATGATGCAACCATAGAGTAGAAAGCTCGACAAAGTGAAAGTAGATAAAAAGCATTGTTAAATATTTCCCAAAAAGACGATGCAAAATTATTAAATCCTAGCCAGCCCAGGAAGACATACTAAGTTCAATTTCTCCTTTTCTTGCTCTTGAACTGATCGTAGCAAGTGAGCTAGATCCTCTCTGCAACTATCGGGACTTGCGAACAGTGATTCCAATTCAAGTACCTACATACATTTGAATCCATTTACAGGTAAATAGACCCAAAATATCAGTCATACCCAACTCTAAAACAGACAACTCCTCAGTTGGGAACTTGTTCGTAAGCAAGATAAAAGCTTTTCAAACAGAATACCGCACCCCGACACTTTTTACTATTCGACCCTTTTTCATTTGTCTTTCTAATAAGCTTTTTGTTGTTCGTTGTCGATTCCTATTAATTGCAAAACCTACGGTCATTATGTTTTCACGGCTGTCAATTATCTAGCTGACACTAACCTGCTTCGAACAATCATTGAATTCGACTGTTATCTCACTGCAAAGCTGCTGGTAAGCTATCTCACCCCCAGAAATCATATAATTCTCAAATCCCCTACCATATACAAGAAATAAGAGCGTCAGGATAACCAACACACACACACACACAACTGCAGCAAACCAAAGCAGGCACCTTCAAAGTTCAAACAAAAATTAAACAGTAACTAGAAAACAAAGAAATCATCAACATTAGATTTTATAGACAAAGAAAACCATAAAATCAAATCTTTTGGGTCATTTTTTCTTTTGTGCGTCGGAGAACGGTGGCGAAGGTTAGAATGAATAGCTTTTACAATTGCTCCTAAATGGGAACAAATCAAATATTACAAGACAGCATGGTGATACTCACACACACACACAAACACACGCGAAGTGTACCGTTTAAGGCGGGCATAAGCAAGGGCACGGCGTTGCTGTACGGCGAGGAATCGACGGAGCAATTTGATTATATTTTCCGATGAGCTACCGATTTTTAACGCTTTAACCTGCTCCTCTACTTGCACATCCATGGTGGGGATACCTTCTCAGGATCCTCCAATCCGACAAATTCCGAACCTCGTTTTCGTTTCAAATTTTTGTTTCGTTTTCGATTTTTAGTGATTATACTGATTTCATGTATCTTTTTTATGCTGGATTACTTTTTGTAATTTTGTTAGAAAATGGTGGCTTAGAAAAGAATTTTAATATTAGCTAATTCTTTCGTTGACTGTAGCATTTTATTTATTTATTTTTTTAACCAAATAATAACTCGTTTCTTTGCTTCAAATCAAGAATTCTAGGGAGAGCATGAGTCGGTACGGTTCGAAAATTAATAAATCTCCAGAACCGTAACGAAGTTCGGAGATTACTAAAATTCGATCTCCGGAACCATACCAAATAATCGGTTCGGTCCGGTTCGGAGATTTTTATTTTTCGGTTCGGTTCGGTTTTCGGGACTATCGGAACTGTTCGGTTCGGTTTGATTCGGTTTGGGTATTCGGAGATTTCTTAACATTTTTTAAATTTTTTTGAATACACCTAGTTATATTTATTTTTTATATGTTTTTTTATTTAAAAAAAATCCAACATTCATCAATACTTCATCGTACTAAAAATTTATTTTTAAATCAACTTTAGAAGTAACCCTATTATATAATACAGTTTTATATTATACAGTTTTAAAATTCAAACAAAATATAATACAGTTTTATATTAAAGTAATATTTATTTAACCTTCCATACCATGATAGTTATATCGACAACTTTAAGTAAAACTTAAATATTTTTTTTTTTAAATCTTCAACCTTTCATTCCATTTTAATTTTTTTTAAACAGGAGAAATTCAATTGTAGATCAAATATTACTAAACATGAAATGTAAGTGAATCTATTCGAGAAGAGGAACATATGGCGGCATAAAAACCGAACAAGTGATGATATGATCTTTTGCCCCTGCTACTGTTTTGTTCTGGTGATTTTGACCTGGATAAAGTCATAGCTTATAGTGCCTAGGCATATGCCATAAAAATTTTGTTGTGTTGTTTTCATGAATTATCTAGGAATTTCGTTTCTGTTGCCGTCTGTGTGTAAAGAAGTTTGGAGTTTGAACGCTGTACATGTATTATTAATAATATATCATTCTGAAAATTCTGTTTCCCATGAATGTATGTGGTTCTTTCATGTATGGTTACAAACATTTAATCTTCGATTATCAAACCGTTTTTACAAAATCATCAAAAGGAAGAAGGAAAATCAATGGGAGAAAGGCCAAACTTTTAAGACATTCTTAATCACAATTTAGGATCTTGCGCCGGTAGTCTAGTCGAGCTACATGCAAGAAACTGAAGCTTGATCTTCTCAAGTTCTCCCACAGCATCTGCCATAACAATCCTATCTTCAGGATTATCGACACAACAGCTCAATGCTAATTCCATAACAGAACACAGGCATCTTAGTTTGTCGTCATAAAACTTATCCTCCGAGCTCAGTAACTCTCCATCCACAATTATCCCGTCTCGTACCCAACTCCTGAGACTCGATTTCCCATCAAACATTTCATCCCACGGCCATACAGCAGAAAAAGTCTCCATCACCATTATACCGTAGCTATAAACATCACATTTAGTCGACACAAGTCCTTCCAATCCGTATTCTACAACAATTAATTTTAACTTTTTAGCAACAAGAAAAATGAGCTAAGTAAAGATCAGAAAGTCGAGAGAGGTTTTCGAATCTCACCTGGTGCAATATACCCATAAGTTGCTAGGGTCTTGGTATGAGAAAAGCTCTGGTCCTCCCCCATCATTTTCGAAACTCCAAAATCGCTCACATGCGAAACCATATTCACGTCTAGCAAAACATTGCTTGGCTTCAAATCACAGTGAACTACGGCCGTTTGCAAACCACAGTGAAGATACTCCAGCGCACGAGCCACATCTAGCATCGAGTTCAACCTCTGCATTGTGTCTAGGAAACAATGTCAGAATGGAGCCACCTGTCCAAGCTCCCGTTTGGCATGTACTCGAGCACTAACGCCTTGAAATCGAGGTTAGAACAACTCGTGATGACTTTTGTAAGATTTCGGTGCCTAAGGCTGCGTAACACCTCACATTCCACGTCGAAACTCTTGAACGAGCCTTCATGTTCCAAATCAAACACTTTAACTGCCACGGGCCCAGCACTGTCAATCACCCCTTCGTATACGCGCCCGAGACTCCCTTGCCCGAGTAAGTTGTTTTTGTTGAAATTTCCCGTTGCTCGATCCAGTCAGACTATTGGGTGCCAGAGAAAAGTTGACATAAGTGAGTTTAGATGCATTCGAAATGGATTCGGGTATAGTGCCGCACAAAAGATTCGTCTCAAGCGACATCAAGTCCAGATTAGGCAGTTGGGCGCCGATTCTCATCGGGAGACTACCCGAAAGCCTGTTTGCTGTGAGGGCGAGTAAAGTCAACGTCGAGATGTTGACTATTTCTTCCGGTATGGCACCCGTTAGCAAGTTGACCGCGAGATGAAGCTGCTCCAGTTGTCGCAGCTTACCGAGCTCTCGTGGTATTTCGCCCGTTAACTGGTTATGAAAAAGGCGTAACGTCTTCAGCTGCGTTAGATTCCCGATTTCTCTCGGTATAGGCCCACTGAAATTGCTGTCCCTTAGCGATAAAGCCTCGAGCTTCAAGCATTTGTCCAGAGACGAAGGTATCGGCCCGTACAAGTCATTGTAGTACAGGTTGAGCTCTACAAGATTCGGGAGGTTCGAGCATATTCTGTTGCAGCAGAATATGGGGCACCCCCGTACTGCACCAAACGTAGATTGCCGAGCTCGCATCTTTGCCTTCATATCATCGTCTGTTAGAAATACTTCCAAAAATACTGAAAAACACTAAAAACCTCATCAAGGCACGAGAGTTTATCATAATCTCAAATAAGTCGAAAAATGTATAAATGCGAGGAATTAAACGTGCACAATTTTCAATATTAAACGATTAATACAAGCACGTTTTTCAACTAATCAGACTATATCAATTAAATTTTGTGACCATGGTTGTTCGTTACTAAATCATGGATTAAAAGTGATAAAAATTTAATGTCACCAAAAACATATTGTGATAGTTAATATCACCAGGGGCGGAGCCAGGATTCTAAATCTACTCCGGCTAAAATTACTTTTGCAAAAAAAATAAAGATAAAATAATAATAATAAATAAATAAAAAGATCTACATATGTATAAAATAAATGATAAATAAAACTTGTACCCTTCATTCCAACAAACTTTTTGATCTCTTCATTTTCCATCTACAACTTCTTCTTTATCTTGCATAAAATTAACAAATGTTAAACATAAATATTATTAAACTCGTTATTTTATTTTATGATGAAGTTAAATATTTTTAAATAGAATATAAGATGATTTGCATAAACGTACACATACTACTATAGTTGCGATTTTTTGAATGAGAGTATTTTAACCATGAAAATTTCTGAAACCACGTGTATTGAAATCGACGATGTTGCTTTCCAAATTTAGACCGTGGATACTCTGTCAATTTCGGACAAGATAAGTATCGTCAAATCAAATTCTTAGAGATTTAGATGGTCGCTCGAGATACTCATTAGAAATTATTGGATTGCTTTGAACAGTGTTTGTTGCAGTTGATAAAGTCACAGACAATGAAGAATTATCAATTTTTTTGGCTTAAACAAAGAAAGAATATTTAATTTTTTTTCTCTTGATTTGACATTGGAATACCTAATTAAAAAAAAAAAAGATATTAACACCAAAACACAAAATTATCATGACTTATTATAAATAAAAATATATTTTTTCTAAAAAAAAAAATCATAACTTATTGTGAATATAAATCTACAATCCTAAAAATTATAAAAAGTAAGGTAATTTATAAAGATGATTAATTATATAAATATGATAATTTATTAATTAGTAATAAAGACTAAAATTAATTTTAAAAATCTCCCTCACCTCAGGCTCAAGAATCTAAGTTCGGGACAGGGGCACGGCTTTGCAGTGTGCAAATTTGCAGTTGAATTTGAATGGAAGTATTCAAGCTGACGGCGGGGGTCCTCCTTCTAGTTAGACTAATAAATTAATTATAATCTATGTCGTGGTTAAATCATGAAACATTGAAAGTGGGCTTCCATGTATAATATATTTGTTAGTGGACTAATTACATGTGTATTAAAATTGGGTCCCGAACTAAAGTCAAAAATTTCAAACTATCTTAATACCAAATACATTGGGCTGTGTTATATCCACCTGGGCTACAACCCAAGTATAAATAGATATTATGAAATTATATCTAAAAAATAATTTTTAGATTATATTTTATAACATTATCAAATTATAATTTACACAAATTCTATCTAAAAAATATATATTTTTCCCTCTACCAGATTTGTGCTACATATTCTCCAATTTGTCTTACATGGAGATAAAGCTTCGGCTCGGGCACCAAAATTATTGCGTAACTACATTGGATCAATGAGCACAGTGTCCGCATCGTATGTCGTGGATTCTTTCGCACCAAATCACTACAAAGAATGGTTGCTCTTAATGATGTTGTGGATGATTTTCTCCAAAATCACGGAGTGGCTCTCCAACCACACTACCGTGGCTGCGACGATGTTGAGAACCCAGATAATGAAATGTACATTCGGTATATGAATGAAAATCGTCCATTCCCAAGGGCCTCCATAATTGAAAACTCGTTCTTTGAGATTCAAGGACCCAACTTTGCTAATCAGCTCGTATATTCCATTACAAAGGGACCCTTACTCGTGGGCTTCAAATTGAGGCAGCGACTTTATTATGCAGAAAATGATGAAATAGTGGACCCAGGTTCCTCACCACTGAAATATGAAGTAGTAAACATAGTAGTATCCTCACTCAATGGGTTCGGAGTGCGCAACAATCTCCTATACTTCGAGATCCTCTTAATCACCGTACATGATATCACTGCAGCATGGGGATATGAATGGGGATATGATATAGCAATGAATGTCCCTTAGATTTTTTTTTTTTTTTGTTTCTTTTGGAAAATATGTATTGACTACTTCTTGAAAGTATTAACTTGCAATTTGTCCAGTCATAATCGCCATCTTGAAAGTATTTTTTTCCAAAAGTATTAAAAAAGATGGCGATTAACAGTCATGAATTGTGCACAAATTGCAAGTTAATACTTTCAAAAAGTAGTCAATACATATTTTTCAAAAGAACAAAAAAAATAAATAAATAAATCTAAGGGATTTTCATTGCTATATCATATCCCCATGATGCAGTGATATCATGTACGGTGATTAAGAGGATCTCGAAGTATAGGAATTGTTGCGCACTCCGAACCCAGGATACTACTATGTTTTACTACTTTACCCTTGTCATATTTCAGTGTTGAGGAACCTGAGCCCACTATTTCATTCTGCATAATAAAGTATCTGCCTCAATTTGAAGCCCACGAGTAAGGGTCCCTTCGTAATGAAATATACGAGCTGATTAACAAAGTTGGGTCCTTGAATCTCAAAGAAGGAGTTTTCAATTATGGAGACCTTGGGAATGGACGATTTTCATTCATATACAGAATGTACATTTCATTATTAGGGTTCTCAACATCGTCGCAGCGACAGTAGTGTGGTTGGAGAGCCACTCCGTGATTTTGGAGGAAATCATCAACAACATCATTAAGAGCAACCACATCTTTTGTTAATTCTTTGTAGTGATTTGGTGCAAAAGAATCCACTACATACTATGCGTCCACATCTTTTGTTAATTCTTTGTAGTGATTTGGTGCAAAAGAATCCACTACATACTATGCGGACAGTGTACTCATTGATCAATGTAGCTAGGCAATAATTTTGGTTCCCCGCCGAAGCTTTATCTCCATGTAAGACAAATTGGAGAATATGTAGCACAAATCTAGTAGAGAGAACCTCTATTTCGTTTTAAATGTCGTTGTAGGGTGTTAACTTTTTTGCAAATTAATTGTCGTTGGAAATATTATATTCATTCTTACATCTTTATTCTCTTTAACAAATTTTATCTTTTATCATTATCTTTAGAAACCACTCATTAATAATTCAAAAACTAAATTTAATAAGATTAAAAAATAAGATTATTACACAACCCATTAAAATCGTAATTTAGAAGTTTTAAATTAAAACGACATTTAATAAGAAACGGAGGGAGTATTTTTTTGATAGAATTTGTGTAAATTATAATTTGATAATATTAAAAAATATAATCAAAAAATTATTTTTGAGATATAATTTCATAATATCTATTTATACTTGGGTTGTAGCCCAGGTGGTTATAACACAGCCCAATGTATTTTGTATTAAGATGCTTTGAAATTTTTTACTTTAGCCCCAAATTTAATACACATGAAATTAGCCCACCTAGCCCACTAACAAATATATTATACATAGAAGCCCACTTTCAATGTTTCATGATTTAACCACGACATAGATTATAATTAATTTATTAATCTAACTAGAAGGAGGACCCCTGCCGTCAGCTCGTATGCTTCCATTCAAATTCAACAGCAAATTTGCAACTGTACTGTGTACAAAGTTGTGCCCCTGTCCCGAACTTACATTCTTGAGCCTGAGGTGAGGTGATATTTTTAAAATTAATTTTATTCTTTAGTCTTTATAACTAATAAATTATCATGTTTATATAATTAATCATCTTTATAAATTACCTTACTTTTTATAATTTTTAGGGTTGTAGATTTATATTCACAATAAGTTATGGTTTTTTTCAAAAAAAAATAAATAAATTATTTTTATAATAAGTCATGATAATTTTGTGTTTTGGTGTTAATATCTTTTTTTTTAATTAGGTATTCCAACGTCAAATCAAGAGAGAAAAAACTAAATATTTTTTCGTTCTTTAAGCCAAAAAATGATAATTCTTCATTGTCTGTGACTTTATCAACCGCAACAAACACTGTTCAAAGCAATCCAATAATTTCTTGATCCAATAATTTCTAATGAGTATCTCGAGCGACCATCTAAATCTCTAAGAATTTGATTTGACGATACTTGTCTTATCCGAAATTGACAGAGTATTCACGGTCTAAATTTGGAAAGCAACATCGTCGATTTCAATACACGTGGTTTCAGAAATTTCCATGGTTAAAATACTCTCATTCAAAAAATCGCAACTATAGTAGTATGTGTACTTTTATGCAAATCATCTTATATTCTATTTAAAAATATTTAACTTCATCATAAAATAAAATAACGAGTTTAATAATATTTACGTCAACATGTTCATAAATTTTATTATGTATAGTAAAATAAAAAAAAATATAAATATTTTCTTATCTTATCTATTTATATCATCTCTCGTGCATCGCACTTTATACATACTAGTTCTTATTTAGTCACCAATAGTTTTTGTCACTTGCAAGTATATTTAGTCTTAAGATAATGATTGTGGCTAAGTTTTTCTGTTTGTCATCACAAAAGGTCCCTATTATATATAAAAATCCATAGTTATTGTTACAATATGAATACTTGCACAGTTATTCCCTACAAGTATACATACTAGTTCTTATGTAGTCACCAATATGATTGTGGCTAGGTCTTTTTTCTCCTTTTTTTTTTTTTTGNTAGTTTTTAAACCCGGCCCGGTGATCGACCCGGGCAGGTCCTCGGGTCACCGGGTCAATTGTTGAACCGGATAATTAACTTTAAAATTTTTAAAATTATATATAGAGTATTTTTGTTATATAAATATACATAAAAGTAACAAAATTAAATGTTTTCTGTATAAAATTTGTATATTAAAGTGTTAATAATATGTATCTCATGATAAATATTTACCATATAAACATATATACATAGTTTTATTTTTAAAAAACAAAAAAATAAAAAAAATATAAAAAGTATATATGGACCGAGTCAACCGGGTTGACCCGGCCGAGTCAATGCCCCGGGTCGACCGGGTCGGCCGGATTTTGATTGGGTTTGACCGGGTCCTTGGTTGCCCGGTCCAAATACTCCACCCGGACTGGTTCCGGCTCCGGGTCGACCCGCCGGGCCGGTCCAGGTCACAAAACAGTGGTTTCATCCTCTTACTTTATTTTTGTAGTAAATATGTGCATATATATTATATATAAAAGAAAATTCAAATGCATAAACCAACTAAAGCAATATATTTACGGAATTATCCAAATGAAATAAAATAAATTTCTCACACAAATAGATTAAAACAAATTTTCAACGCACAAATAAAAGACACATAATTTCTTGTAGTAGTGTAATTTACCAGTTTCACATGGATTTTTGATGTAAGGCTAGATCTCTGGCTTATGATCCCTCCATGAAAATCTAGAGTATCTTTTCCCATCCTGCTGCAGTCAAAAGTAAAAAAACAATTTTTTTAATAATAAAAAATTAAAAACATTCAATAATGAAACAGGAAAGAAAAATGTCTTCACATTAAATGTATTAGCATGAGTATAAAAAATGAATTATATATATAAATGTACTTATTTATTTTTATTAATAATTTCACATTTATTTATTTTTATTATTAATTTCACATAAATAATAATACTTATTACGATAAAATATATATATATATATATAGTAACTGAAATATATAACTTTATGTATTATTCTTAAGTAAGATAGATGACTTTTTTAAATTAAATATAAATTACTCTTCTACAAAACAATACAAGTTTATTAATGTACAAGCATGCAAAAACGCAAAACCACATTGCTATATAAATTATAATTATCAATACCAATAGGCAGTATGTTCGTTGCAGTCAGATTCAC